GTTAAATAAAACAAAATGAAGAAAACCCTAAAGATGACTGAGTTGGGGTTGAGAGAGGGGACTATATAAACAGGAGCTTAGTTTGGAGCATGGAAAGTTTAAGAAACCAGGTGAGGTTACATGGAATTTTCAAATATAAAGACTGTAGTTTAAAGGAGAGGTATGGACTAGGGAATCAGTTCGTGACTCCTAAGCCTACATCTGGTATTTAAAACTTAGGCAAACTAGTGTAAAGAGTTTCTGGGGCTTTTCTTCCTCAAATATATTTGGAAAACACTGAGTTCAAAATGAGATTCAAGTTTTCCTTGTTACTACACATCTCAGAACTATTTTACATGAATAATAAGTCTCCAAGATAGAGATGCAGACCTCTTAGATTAGCAGCATTTAGAAGACTGCTGTTTCATAGAACACTGTTTTGGAAATAATGAACTTATTATATTAATGCCTGAAAAATTACCTAGATTAATTATTGCAAATCATCAAGTCTTAAAGCCCGTAAAACTTTCAAAATTGTACAAAATCGATTGGCTAGTTGTTTCATATTTTCTAAGTAGTTCTGTATCCATATAACAGATATAAAGAGCTGAGCAATTTTTAGGTTAAAAGCTTTGTCCCAAGAGCAAGGTAATAGTTTTCTTTTTAAAAATTTTCCGCTAAAATTATCTGTGTATTGGAATCACCTCTGGAGCTTCAAGAACTACTAATGACTGTGTTTCCCCTCTAAAATTATGACTTCATTGATCTGGGTGTGGTAAGGCCCTTAGAGATTTTAAAATATGCTCAGGTGATCCTAATATGCAGACATTTGAGGATCCATTGCGGCTAAAAGTAATCTCTGCTTCTTATCTATTATATAACATTTTAAAGCTATTTATTCCTATTTTTAATTAAGAAACATTATTTGGATTATTCGAACAGGTTATTTATTCATCAAATATTTATCGAGAGCCTACTAAATGCCTAACATTTGTTACCTTATTGCAAAAGCATGGCGATATCGCTATTCATTTGTATCTACTTTTAGAAGGCAAGTGGATACTTAACATAATTAAATTATTAATAAAATCCAAAAATGAGTAACTAGTAACATGATTAGTTGGTATAATCTCTAAAACCATCTAAGAGTCTTTAGCTGAGTTATAAAATATTGTTAGCCACTCAATCTATGTTAGAAGCAACAAGTGCCATATATAATTCTTTAGACATTGGTCTTGTATGGTAGCAATGTTCATATAGAATATGCCCTTTAAGAGTCACACAACTTCTATGTGGGCACCAATATGTCTTCAAGAAATGTATGACTCTATTATAATCAGTGAAATCAACAAACAATTTATTGAGCACATACCAGGCATGGTTCAAGGCAGTGGAGATATACCAGTAAAATAAGAAATTCCTACTCTTATAAAACTTTGATTGTATTAGAGGGAGACATAATAACAAGAGATAGACTAGGTAGATAGATAAATTGATTGACTGATAGTAGATAGATAAAATGGTTTCAAAAACTGATACATGATCTAAAGAAAAATAAAGTAAGATGAGTTAAGGATTGATAGTCGGGAGGGTGGGGAGGGGTAGGGGTTGATAATGTGGTTGGAAACTTAACAGGAGGTGAACTTTGAACCATCTAAGTGAAGGGAAGGAAGAAGGGAAGACCTGCAACAATAGGCTGTGGGAACAGCCAGAGCAGAGGTTGGAAAGGAAATAAATGTTTGATACACTTGAGAATCAGCTGAAGACTAGTACAACAGAGTGAAATGTGAGGAGAGAGCAGTAGATGAGGTCAGACAGACAGGCAAGAGCCAGATAATAAATGCAGTGCCCCATAGGCCATAGTAAGGGTTGTTTTTGTTTGTTGTTGTTGTTGTTTTCTTGTTTTCTTCTAAGTATTCTTGAAAGCCTTTGGAAGCCTTGCCTGGGAAGTGACATGACCTAATTTACATTCATGGAGAGAATATTTGACTAATCCATGAAGAGCAAATTCTTATATACAGGGCAAGGTTATAGCAGGAAGACAGTTGGAAGGCTATGTGTTCCAGGCAAGAGTTGGCAATAGAGCAGAGAGACAGCTGGTAAGATGGTGAAAGTTCTCCTGCAAAAGACATGTTGATGCTATCATGGAAAAGGATTTTCTGATGAAGTTTTCCTGTTGGGACACCTAACATACATCAACAGATAATCAAAACATTACAGTCAGAAAAGTTTCCGAATTCTGGGTTAAAGCAGTAATTATAGTTCTTTATGTAAAAACTTGTTTCCTTTGTAGAAGAGAAACATTTCTTTATAAAGCCACTTTCTTTTTTATGGAAAAAAACTGTTTGTAGTAACTTTGGAAACTCAAATTATCCTGGTTTTGTTGTTGTTGTTTTGGTTTTTGCTGTTGTTTTTGCTTTTTTTTTAACGCTCAGGCCTTGTCTTAAAATCTCAAGGAGCCAGAATCACTGAAATGATAGCTTTCAGTAAAACTACCTGTAGGAAATTGTGATAGGCATAGCATTTTAAGGTTAATGCTGTGATAAATAATGTGACCAGAAGTTACGCTTGGAACAGTGAGAATTCTTCTGTTGCTATTGGGTAATTGCCAGTACTTACCTAGATCAGGGATTTTTCCATTTGCAGGGATTGGTGTGAGAGAGTTCACTCTTCTCATCATTATATTCTGTTATCTTGCCCCATCTCCCCTGCCTCTTCCAACCTGCCTCACCTGACACATCTTTTACATCACTATAGTATCTAACATATCTAGATGCGTGTTAGGTTGGGAGAGGTTGTTTGAGCTGCACTTTCTTCTTCATATTAGGTGTTATAGATTCACATAGTGATTAAGAACATAGATTTTGGAGCTCTACAGAGCATTGAGTTTGAATTCTGCCCACTGATCTTAAATTGAGTGATTTGGGGCAACATATTGAATCTTTCTGAGCCTTCTTGTAAAATATAATGAGTTCTAAACTCAAGTGAGGTTAACTGAGATTATAAATGTAAAGCACTTAGCGAAACACCAGAATATAGTAAATACTCTTCATTTTTTTCTGAACATATTTATTCAGTAGTTTTAATATATTCTTAATATAGTATTTTAAGAGCAAAGGTACTAAAGCCAGACTGCCTGGATTTAAATCACATTTACCATGTAGAAGCTATGTGATCTTGGACATATTTTTGAACTTCTGTCTTTCTATCTTTTTTCATAAATTGGTTAAACTAACAATACCAACTCCATTAGTTTGTACTGAGGATTAAAAAGGATAAGTCATATAAAAAATATACAAAGATAAGCTGGGTGCAGTGGCTCACACCTGTAATCCCAGCACTTTGGGAGGCCAAGGTGGGTGGATCACGACATCAGGAGTTCAAGACCAGCCTGGCCAACATGGTGAAACCCCGTCTCTACTAAAAATACAAAAAGTTGCTGGGCGTGGTGGTGCACTTGTAATCCCAGCTACTCAGGAGGCCGAGGCAGGAGAATTGTTTGAATCCAGGAGGGAGAGGGTACAGTGACCTGAGATCACACCACTGCACTCCAGCCTGGGTGGCAGAGCGAAACTCTGTCTCAAAAAAAAAAGAAAAGCGGCCGGGCTTGGTGGCTCAAGCCTGTAATCCCAGCACTTTGGGAGGCCGAGGCGGGTGGATCACGAGGCCAAGAAATCGAGACCATCCTGGTCAACATGGTGAAACCCCGTCTCTACTCAAAATACAAAAAATTAGCTGGGCATGGTGGCGTGTGCCTGTAATCCCAGCTACTCAGGAGGCTGAGGCAGGAGAATTGCCTGAACCCAGGAGGCGGAGGTTGCGGTGAGCCGAGATGGCGCCATTGCACTCCAGCCTGGGTAAGGAGCGAAACTCCGTCTCAAAAAAAAAAAAAAAAAAGCTAAGACAGTACTATGTTGTAAGTCAAATACTGTAAGCGATAGTCTCTCGATATTTTATTTCAAAATTATAGTTAAAAACAAAAGGATTATATTAGCTTTTTAATGTTTATTGTTGTATAAATCAAGTAAATTTGCTTAGGCTGAACCAGGGAATTGTTTAAAATGAGTAGCTGATTTACTCTATCAGTCATAAATGAAGGAGAAGTTTAGATATTATCTGCTTAGTTGATCCAGTTAAGTAAGCATATTGGTTTATTTAAGACAACAAAATTAAATTTAGTTATTTAGTTTGCCCCTCTGAGAAATATCAAAATGACCAGATAATTGTCAAATCTCCTTTTTTTTTCTGAATTGAGTGTTGACTGTTTTTCCCTGACATTTTTGTTTCCCCTTTCTTTCATTTATTTCTTCTGATGTTATTTTGAAATCTATTTCTCTTTCAGTTCCTCACTGATTAAAAAATAAAGAACACCTTAATATTAGCAATAAGTAAAAGCTACTCTTAAAAGTTGAGTAGTTCAATTTTTATTTTTGTTTATTTATTTATTTTGAGACAGTGTCTTACTCTGTCACCCATGCTGGAGTGCAGTGGTGCAATCTCAGCTCACTGCAACCTCTGCCTCCCAGGTCAAAGTGATCCTCCCACTTCAACCTCCCGAGTACCTGGGATTAAAGGCATCCCCCACCACACCCGGCTAATTTTTGTAATTTTAGTAGAGACAGAGTTTCACCATGTTGGCCAGGCTGTTTGGCCTCAAGTGATCCACCTGTGATGGCCTCCCAGAATGCTGGGATTACTTGCATAAGCCACTACTCCTCGTCCTAGTTCAGTTTTTAAATGGAACATCAAGTGATTTTTTTTTAACGCTTGATGTTATTCTCAATAATTTCATATGGCAGTATTTCCCATACTGGTCCCAAATTGATACTATTTAGAATATAAATGATTTTTTTTTTTTGAGACAAAAGCTTTGGTGCTGGTGGTGTAAAAGTGTTTTTTTGTTGTATATTAATTAATGCAGGTAATGTCACCATTGTTTTGGTATTAATCTATTAATAGCACAAAGCTCATTATATAAACTTTACCTTGTTATATTAGTGAAGCTTTCTTTCACTTTATAGCTGGCTTAAGTCCTGCTGAGATTCAGCAGTTATGGAAAGAAGTGACTGGAGTTCACAGTATGGAAGACAATGGCATTAAACATGGAGGGCTAGACCTCACTACTAACAATTCCTCCTCGACTACCTCCTCCACCACTTCCAAAGCATCACCACCAATAACTCATCATTCCATAGTGAATGGACAGTCTTCAGTTTTAAATGCAAGACGAGACAGGTAAATCTCATGAGCTTTATTCTATATTTATCATCAGATTTTATTTTCACCATTGAGAAAAGAAAAAGAACAATTTGTACTTGAAATAAAGACAAAATGTATAGAACAACAAATTAGAAATCTTGAGATTATTTATCTTATATTCTTTTTATTATCAGAAAGCAGTTCAAATACGAAAAGTTGGTTGGATATAGTTGGGGAGTTTGCCTGAAGAAATTTATTTTTCCATAAGTTCATGTGGAATGATTGTATCGATATATTTTTATGACCAAGATATCATGATTAACCTGAATGCTGAGAATATTTTTAAGCTAAAAATCAGTTCTTTAATTTCAAATAATTAAAGATGCATGCATATACCTCTTATATGTTTCAAACATATGAGTTAGAAATCAGAGAACAGATAGATGTATAAACGCAGGCATAACAAACTAGGATGGAAAATCTGGTTTGCCTTTTTCACTGTGGCATGATGAAATTTGTAAGTACATTAAAATAAAATTATGTTGGTAATTTTATGATTAAATTCAACTAAAAATTCAAAGAAATATTATTTGATTTAAGTTATTAAATGTGTTAGGTAATTTTTAACTTACTGTTTTATTTTAGTTGTATAAAAATTGTCTTTGTAAAAGGAGCATTCATGTACATTTCTCCTTTAGTTCCATTTATTTAGGCATATTGTTCTCCAATCAAATCCTTTAAAGTAAATTGCATATAGTTCATCAGCCAAAATATTGCTAAATGTGAAAAAAATTGGTTTTGAAAGGATGAAATGTAAGTGTAGGATTCTTAACATAATGGTTTAGGCTTATGTATATAGCTCCAAACTTCATATGTAGGTTTAGTGGATTGATAGTATTATGTTATGTAATATGATGAATATGTTCCTTGCCGTAACAAATTCTTTGTCATAAACAAAAATATTTTTCAAATAAACATATATTTAATCATAGTACAATTTAAAATAAAATGCTATAATTCTGTGATGTTTCTGGCCTTCATTTGTGTATCATGGAAAATTTTTCTGGTTAGGTTTTATTAGTATAAAGTGGTATGCGCCTGAATGCTTTCATGCTGTTGTTTTAATTGTGATTAATTTGATGATTATATATCCCAAAAGTTGGTTGATTTCTCTGGGATCTCTCCATCTAACATTCACTTATCAAAAGTCTTCAATAATTCTATAAAGATATAGCTAATGAATACTGTTCCAAAGTAGAATTTCTAAATCAAGTGTAACTAGTAGAAATATATGTGATTTATACATAAATATTAAACAATTTAAATGATCCTAGAGGTCCATATCTTCTTTAAAAAGAGCATTTCAAAAATCTTGTGATGACTGTACTATTATTTTCTTAAAAATAAAGGGTTTTTTTCACTTGACCACCTATGAATATATATTTTTTATTTAGAGGTAAAATGTTACATTAAGGTCATATGGCAGGATTAGCATATGATATTATACAGTCCTCTTAAGTTTTTCATCCTTTATTAACAGTCATCTTTGTCTCTATTTCTCCTCTAATTGGAACATCATCTAGCCTTGGCAGTTGAACTATTCAATAGAACGATTAAATTTTTCTGACTGCTCTGAGCTGAATTGACCTGTTTTGACCTGTTTGTCACTGATCGTAACCTGACAGGCGCTAGCAGCCTGCAACAATTATAGCTTTTTGAGATGAATCTGACATCGTGTTCTTTTGCTACAGCTCGTCACATGAGGAGACTGGGGCCTCTCACACTCTCTATGGCCATGGAGTTTGCAAATGGCCAGGCTGTGAAAGCATTTGTGAAGATTTTGGACAGTTTTTAAAGTAGGTTTTTCACTTTTTTTTGGCTGGGGGGGGCTGGATTATATGGGAGTTTTGGGCACATTGTAAATAAACAAAAGATAAAGGAGCCAAGTAAAAGTCCATAATAAGACATACTTGAAGATTTCTGGGGGTTCTAATGAGTGGATTAGCAAGGTCAGGCCTCATCTTTTCATGAAGATATTTTACAAATCACTTAGTAAAGATTTTTGAATGAATGAAAAATATTAGCCTACAATAATATGCCATTAATCATTGGAGACATAATAATTATTTATAAAATAGAATTCTTTTAAGTATTACGTTTCTAATTAATAATATGTGAGTGATCATAATACGTATTTCAGTAAACATTTTGAAGGTTTGTTTTTTTAATTACAGGATTTATATATTTTTAAAAATAGTGATATGTAGTATATATGTTTAACTGCAAGAATTAAAAATGAAAGTTTATGCTGGCTAAAATTTAAAGAAATACCTACATTTCATTTTCATTATTACTTTTTGCCCTTAGAAATATGAAGAAAAACACATGGCTATATGTTTGTATAACAGATTACCTGGCTTCTCTAGCTTAAAACTAAAACTTTGTATATTCTTAATTTTTAATACAATATTTTGTTTAAAAAATTCGTAAGGGGTTCTTTTTTAAGTGAAAACATTCATCTTTCATGAAATGTTTTCCATACACAATTCTGGAATATAAGAGATCTAAACAGAGAACTGCAGATAGGCTTATGGAGATGAGTAACTTCACAGGCTGAGACTCTTATGTTGTCATGGTGCAGCTAACAGGGTGAGTGAACTGTTTCATGCTTCATCAACAATTAAGTTAATTAGCTCATTTGAAATTGCACCGCTTTGTTGCCAGGATGTTGGCAGAAACATCAAAAAGATGTGTTTACAAATGGAAGACTGACTACAGGGTATAGAGCAAAAGCACCTTAACAACCAGGCACAAGTACTTGGCATCACAATAACTTTATAAATGAATTACAGTAAGACTTCCACAAAGATTTTTTTAACCTTTTATCATTTCTAACTAATTAAGAGAAACTTTGATTCATATACCACTATGGCGCTTTGTAAATGGTCTTAAATGAAAATTTGCACTTCTCTTGTATCAAAACAGTTGTAAGCTACCATTTCTTTGAGTATGAAACTGATTATACGCAAAGAGACCATTAAAAAATGTTAGGTAGATTTGCTGAAGTTTTCTTCTCTTAAAAAAAAAAACGTTAAAGCAAAGAAAGAACATAGGAATGTTATTTTAACAAATGATTTCCCATTTCTTCATGTTAATACATTAGTCCTTATCAATATATTATTCCTTGCCAGTGAAATTATATAGAGGGCTATTGTTAAACTGTGTTTTTTAGAGTGGTAAATTATGCCATAGGACTAACCTGCTCACAATGCATTTTATTGCTCCAAATTTTTCTTTCTGACAAAATTCAAAATAAATCTTTAGGGAAAAAGTACATATTTTCCTTTAGTATGATTTTGTTTATAGCAAATTGAAAGGAGCATTTGAATTTATCTCAAATATTTATGTTTTTATTACCAACAAGCAGATAAATATGAACCCTCATTTTACCATCCATAGTCTTCTTTCGTATTCATGTCAGTGTTTAAAAAAAGACAAAGAAATTACAATTAGAAAAGCATTTCCTTTCAATTAAATAGCAACTTTGGTTCCAAAGACTGACCATTTTTCCAACCCATTAACTTTATAGGGATGACAGAACTAATGACAGGAGGTTTTAAGGCCTTTTTTTAGTCCATTTTTGTTTTTATATGCTTTAGATTCACTAATTCAAAGATCTGTGATATATTCTGTTAATAGAGCTAATATAAGTATACGGAACTGAAGTGAAATATCGATTAGATATACTTTCCATAGGGGCATTGTTGTCTTTAAACTGTATTAGAAATTTGAAAAGAAATAAAATATCTCATTAAATGAATTAACTTCAGTTATTCAAGTTCATTTGGCATCTGTGTGGGGAGTGAAAATGAAGAAGGAAAGCATCACCACTTACACAGATTTTTCTCGGAGGACTTTGCTTTTCCTTTGTAATAATGGAGAAAATTTAGGGTTTGGGGAGGAAAATGATAGATAAAAAGCTGTGAAAATTTTTTAGTTCTTACTTTTTTGTGTATCCGTTCTCCCTAAATTTTATATCCAGTGTTCATTATGAAAGTTTTTTAGAAAGTACTGTGGCATTTTTACTTCTAAAATGCACTAGAAATACATTTTACAGCTTCAGGTTTAATTTGGTATCAGATAACTTATCCCTTGGTATGAAATAAAAGGAAACAATTCATTTTTACTATTTAGCTGATATATATTAAATTACAAAGAATAGTAAAAAATATATTGAGTCCCGAATTCTTTTTTCACATTACATCCCAAAACAAACTAGTGGAATACTTCTGTTTTTACCTCACACCAAATGAAAAGCCATTATAGGACAGTTGCATATGTATAACACATAAATATTTACCTATATATTATATATATTTATGTATTTTATAAATTTATGTATTCTATATATACTCATGTTCTTACATATTCTTTAATTCTTATATACTCTTTGAGGCACTCTTTTCAATTGGATAAAAAAATTAAGACTTAGAAGTAGTTGTTTATAACAGTGAGATGAAAACAGAAAACAAAAGATGAAGAAGGAAGTCCAAGATCAAAAAGTGTTTAGGAAAATTTTTGAGTTTTACTGTAAAGTAGGTGTTGACAGAAGCTAACCATTTTTCCTGACCACTAATTGAGGATCTCACTAGATCACTAAAAGCATTTAATACTAGTTCTTCATTACTGTCTTATAAATGTCAAAGTGTAATAACATCTGACAAAACTTTAGAGTAGTTTGTCTGCAAAATTAATTATCATTCCATTGGAACTAAGTCAGCTTGAATATAGATGGATTGACTTTTAGAGCTTAAGCCAAAAGGTTTACAGTATAACATTCCATTTAGCAGACAAGTGTTCTTGAACCTGCATGCCCAGATGCCAGCACACAAAACATGGTCTGAGATACAAAGGTGGAAATAGTCTCCTTTAAGAAAGGCAGAATGGCTAGTGTGTATACAGATATTAATGTGTTAAGGATTGATTAGTCGATGGGTGTAAATGAGTTAAATTTATTACAGACCAAAATTTTAAGGCTTGATACTATATGAAGAGCAATAGAAAACATAGTGGAAACAGAGCAGTTTATTTAATAGAAAATTGTTGTCTGTTTTATTGCAGCTGACTACTCTAAAAATTATGCTCTTACTTAATGTGTATTGTCTATTTCTTTGTCTTTGACTAGGCAGCATGGCTACAAAATTATGACCTCAAGAAGGCATTCTTTGAACTTGTCAGAATGTTGTTTCTTTTGGTGACAGTGCCCCCATCTCTCAAAACTAAGGCATCTCACATAATCAACTAAATGAATAGTGACAGCTAACATTTTGTATTTAAACTCCTGTCAGTGTTTAAACATAAAAAGCTTGATGCAAAATAAATCAAACACCAGTGATATGCAAGTGAAACATTTTGTTAAAACAGTCTTTGACATACTTGGATTTAAATCTGATCCCTTTTTAGCTTATAAAATGCTACAACTTTAAATGAATTTGAAAAATCTAAAGGTTAAAATTGAATCACTAATCTGGAGTGTATATAATTGAAGTTACCACATACATTCATAATCTATAAAAGCTTCATTAAAGAGAATTATGCATTAAATACATTGGAAGGATCCTTCCTACTTTTTGTTTTCCTGAAGTGCTTGCTTAATTGTTTTTAGAAAGAATTTGACTGCTTATTTATGTTTTTTCTAGTTTATACTATCTACCTAGCACACAGATTCAATGCAGTTTTGAAAGAACGTCAGTCGACCACATCATTTATTCCATTTTGAAAACAAAAATCAATATACCTATAAAGTGACCCATAAATTAGAACTGGCTCACACAATGTTTGTTCAGTGCTGCCTTTCTGAAGGCACCCTTTGCATTTTTTCTTCACCTCTCTGTTTGAACTGCAGTCTCGGTAAGAGGCTCATTAGGGGACATTAGGGACTGCAGCTAACCAGAATTCCAGAGCTTGCTTTGCTCTTATTAATGCATAGTAGAGTAGAATGCATTTAAATATTTCATAGGCATTCAGTAATTTGTGTGTAATCGCCTTGTTAGCAGACCAGTAGAAGTAGAACAGGCCTGTGAAATGGTGTTAGTGATTGCATGGGTAATTTAAAGACCTTTGCCATCAGAAAGAGTATTATTGTTGGCTAGTATGAAGCTGTGAAATAAAACTACCAATAAGTAAAATAAGAAACTTAATAAAGGTTTTGTAACAAGCATCTTCAGGGATAACAACCCCACTTGGTCCTTTTGAAGCAGCTGTAATTTATGACATAGGCAATATATCAAATGCATAAGATAGTATTATGGAGCATTCATATGAAAAGTGTATTTGCAACATTAGTTCCAACTTCCTGCAAGGGACATGATTAAATGATTAATGAAATGTCCCTTTGCATATGCATTTTGAAACAGCAATTAGGCACTGACTGAGAAAATCCACCAATCCTCTCATTTTTCAGTATTATCTCATTCTTGATTTATAAATCATAGAGAATTTTTGAACAGTAATGTGTAGTACCTGAGATAGTTATAAAAACATAAAAGAGAATAATTTGGGCACAAAATAGTCATAAATACATAAATTCATAATTTAATGTTAATACTTAGCCTATTTACTTAGTCTTATTGCATTGTATTTATATCTGACACTATTTCTGTACTTTGATTGGCATAATTAAGTAGAGGGAATGAATAGGCACTATTCTTTTACATATCACTGGTAAACAATAGCGAGGAAAGGAGAAGGGAGATGTGGCAGAGGTATGTATGTGTTTTTCAAGTTCTCAGTAATCCACTGGAGGCTGTTCTATAAATGATCATTGAAGGGCTGCAAGCTAGCCTATAATTACAGGAAAGAAAGTGGCAGCTCTGGCATTTCATAACTATGTGTCCTCGAAAAGTGCTTTGTGAGTTTGTCACCAATGATAATTTAGATAGAGGCTCATTACTGAACATCACAACACTTTAAAAACCTTTCGCCTTCATACAGGAGAATAAAGGACTATTTTAATGGCAAGGTTCTTTTGTGTTCCACTGAAAAATTCAATCAAGACAAAACCTCATTGACTATTATTGTAGTCTACAGTCTCTATTCTAATAAAAGCTGCATAGATAAATTGAATAGGTCTCTAAGACCCAAGTATATAATGCAAACATTTTGTACTTTTTTTAGTTCTTTAAATATAAGATCGTGATTATCACTAAGCAGTAAACAAGTATAAAAAATCATTATAAAAAGTGATTTCACACGAAAAAAAAGTTACACTGACTACACCTTTTATAGCAGACCCGCATAGTCTACTTATCTTGCTTCCTTCATTTACACCCTAAGCACAGTACATAACTGAAGCATTTTTGAAAATATGCCTCATTTTTTCTGATATGAAAGAAATATATTTGTGCTCCCCAAGAGTTCACGGCAAAAAAAATCTTACTGAACACAGCAATATGAGCATTAAGAATACAACACACAACTGTATTATGCTGGTAGAAAATTTTCTTACAGTTCATTTAAATTTTGGGGAAAAAACCCTGAGAAACAATTTTTAAATGTTGTCTTGTTATTTAGAAATTGGTGACACTTTCTGTTAACTAACCTCTGGTTTACTCTCACATTCCATACCTCCTTTCCAGAGAGGGTGAGTGAATGTCAGTCCTCTCCACAGTTAGGTTCACAGCAGAACAAACCTGAGCTGAGCTTAGACAGCAGACAGGTATAGGGGAGGTGCCTCCCCTGCACCCCCGACATACTCCTTCAGCTTAACAGTATCCACCTTGCTATTTTAGTCCACAATTTCTCTTGAACCAAGACTGACAATGTGACAAGATAGATACATGGAGGCTTCATTGTTATGATCAATAAAGCAGTATTAAAACAAACTGGTTTAATTTATCAAGGTATAGGCAAAACAGAGGTTTCTGATGGTTGAACATAGATCTAATAAACCTTCTTGTTTATAATAAAATTAGTTTTTCTCAGCAAGATGACTTTAATTACTCTTCATATGTTTTACATATATGTGTCTAAAGTTTTTCTGCTTCATTATGAATTACAAGAAATATAAGTAAATAATTTGAATGGATATGAAAATATTTTTGTTGAATTCAGTATACTTGGGGCTATTACAACCTTTTAGACTATTACATCATTCTAAAGCGTACTTGAGCACACATGGGTAAATATATAAATTCTTATTTAATTTTGTGAATTTTTTTTTTTCAATATACCATTTCACTTACGTGCATTGATGAGAACATCTCTGAAATTGCCGCCTTAGTTTGCCCACTGGTGAAATAGATACAGCAAAGGATGTTGAATTACTTGAAGATTACTTCCTTTAATTTTGGGAGGCATCAAAGACATTATATATTACAAATTACAGAGTATATATTACTAAATGTTTTTATGTTCATCAGAGATGCTGCTTTACTAAATTACTTATGGTATATTAACATACCACTCATTAAAGAAATCTCTTTAAACATTATATAGAAATAATAATGGTAGACTAATGCATATTCAAGATTAGAGTAAGATCATTGGAATTATTTATTTTTCACCATTTTAAAAATAAGATTAGGATAAATGTCTCCTAGTTAGGACACTAGACATGAAATGTCAGTCTTATTATTCAGATGATCAGCCTCTTCAATGAAGTTTCTTCATTACTATCAGCAAATCATCATTCTTCATAAATATTGATGTTTCCACAGGATGATAATTTGCCATCTTCACCTAATTCATACCATATCCCAATGAAATAAGACATTGCTCACTAAAATACATCATAGAAACAACAAACTCTTTTAACAGAAATGGAATAGAAAATTGCCTTTGTTCTCTTCAAAATTGCTTTTGGTTCATATATTTTTAAGCTGTTCTTTTTTTAAAAAAAATGGCATAAGTAATGTGACTTCTACTACAACTCTCTAAATGATCTAGGGAAATACTTTTTATAATAACAGATAAGCTTAGAGACAGTGACATTTTCTGCCATTTGAAGAATCTCTTTACATTACATAAATAATTTTCACACAACACGTAAGCAGCTTTAACTTTTTTCTATATGGTTTCAAGGCTTTCTATTTTCCCACTGCACAGACTTAAAAGTGTAGTGGTTTTTAAATGTAGCATATGCCACTGATATCGACATCACTTTACATTCTGTTTTGTGTCTTCTGTTTGTTTAGGCACCTTAATAATGAACACGCATTGGATGACCGAAGCACCGCTCAGTGTCGAGTGCAAATGCAGGTGGTGCAACAATTAGAAATACAGGTTTGTTAAATGCTTACTTAATGGACTCTTCTCAGATGTCTGGTGTGTTACATTGAGTACTGAGCATATTCTGGGTCTTTCAGGCTGCATCTTATTGTCTTAATTATATAATAACTAATGGAGATACATGGAATTTTAGATTGTTTTAACCATGGCAATTATTGATAACCCAGGAAGGACTGCTATAGTTTAATGTACTTATCACTTATATTTTGATAACTTTTAGACCATATCATATGCATTTGCATATCCCAAAGTAGTCAGATCTAAATTTTTTCCAATGTAGGTTAGATAAAACTCCAATTAGATATGATTTTATTACAGACACAGGTTTTGCATGAGCTGAGCTTGATTTTTTCCATAAGATTTTATATTATAGCAAATAGCCAGTCTTTACAATACCATGCTTGTAATATAACACCCTGAAAAATTCTTCTTTTTTCTAGTCTATTTTTAATTAAAGAACTTGTAAAAATTATTTATACTTTTCTTTAGCTAGATTAAAGGCAAATAATTTATATCACAGATGGTAATATACATGCTGTATCAAATGCTGCTGTTTTAAGTTAAAAAATTCGATTAATGTTGAAACAAAATTTGGCCAGAAGTAAACAGAATTCATAGAACTGATCAGAAATCAATTATGTCACCCAAAGTCTGACTCTTGCTATGTTTTACTAAGCCTTTAAACCTTCCTCTAATATTTCATCTTAAAGATTCTTTTTCAATAAAACTAACACATTGTTTCATTTAAATATATGATTTTTCTTCATATTTTATTACATCTTATTTCAAATTCATCATGTCATTGCTTTTTTTTTGAGAGCTACTAAAAATATTTTGTTTTGACTTGTAAAATAATCAAGAATACAAAACGCACCATCACTGTTATAGTTTAAAAAGCTTTTTATAAACCTGTTTACCATTTATAAAAGGTAGACTAAAACATAAGAGTTCAGCTGATGATACAGTCTTCAGTGTGACCAATTATGCCTCTTTTTTTTTTCCTTCTGCTGTGTCTGACTGATGGAAAAGTAAGGTCCGTCAGTTGTAATGAGACCCAGTGCAAGTGTAGATGCCGACTCCGTGGCAGAGTTCAGCGTTTCACACTGCCTGGTCTCTGTCACTCTATTGAATTAGATTGATGATGGCAGATTGCAGGGGGCACTAACTGGACCTCAGTGGGAATGCATGAAGTGTGTAGACAATCCTGGCAGGCACTTCGCTTTGAGAACCCTTCACCCCTTCACAGCTGTTGGCACTAGTCCATTGCTAACAGTGTCCACAGGACTTTAAAGAGACACCATGGGCCTTCTAATTTATGGTTTCAGTAACTTGTTACTGTCGAGGCAACTGTGACCTCAATTCTCTTATTGACAAAAAGATGAAGTGTTATTTGTTTTCTCTGACCTTTTAACATAAGAAAAGCTATAAAAGTTTTTTCCCCCTCCATAGCTAAAGTTGCATTTTCTCCCAGATAAGTTCCTCCTGACACAGACTTTTATATGCAGGAATCATTATTCTGAGGCAAGCTCAATGATAAGATGTATCACTGCAATAAAATAGCTGTATCAGTCATTTCTAAAATGCTTCTGATCTCACTCTTTCTTAACAGCTTTCTAAAGAACGCGAACGTCTTCAAGCAATGATGACCCACTTGCACATGCGACCCTCAGAGCCCAAACCATCTCCCAAACCTGTAAGTGCATATTGCTTTATAAACAGTAAATAGCTCTCCCAATGTAACAGACTAAGAAAATGAACAATTTAGTGACAGTTAGAAAACAATGAGTGTGATGAAAAATACCGCAATAAAATGAAAGTAAAATGTAATCGCTTGTCAAATTGTATGTTTCTTTTAAAGTAATGCTATCTTTTACAAAATCTATCCAATCTACACCGTGGGTGACACTAAACAAAGTACACCTATCAGTGCACAAATCACTGCCTTGGGGCTGAAGCCAGAGAGAATTTCTTTCTGTGATAGGTTTACAGATATTAAAAGGAAACCTTTTTTGAACAACCTGAAAAGTAGTAACAGTACAAATCATACAAATCACAAATAGAAATATATGTGGTGTGCTGATGAAGACAAATCAATCATAAGATACATGTAAATAGATTTTTATCAAACATTTTGTCACAAATGTCATAGTATCTTTTGTAGCCAATTTTGTCCTATTTCTTTGGTTATTTCAGTTAAGATGTATTTGATATAGCGATATGTTTTATTGTATATTATACATAATGTTAATTTAGAGAGCTTATCACAAAAAGAAATGGGTGATTATAGAAAATTAAGACTAGTTTTCCTCAAAAATATATGAGATTTAAGCTCAACCTGATAATGTAGTCAGATACACAGACTGTTGAAAAGAATATACTTTACCTCACTCAGCTGATGTTTGCACAGAAACTTAATCAACCGGTTAACTCTAGTTTAATGAAAGTTTGTGGGATACTTTTTAATAAGGCCCATGTATAGCCTGATGATTAATGATTGCCAGCCTTGCCTCTCCCTCTATTTCTTTAGGTAAAAATAGAACATTTGGCTTTGTAGTTGGGAGGAGACAGAAGATAACTATATTATATAATTTTCTTCTAATGTCTCGATATCTCATCAATTAATATTATTCAAAATTTAATTTTTTATAGAGATGATATTTAAACTATGCTAAGCTATTTCTGCCATACTAGAGCTTTTCCTTTGTACTATATTTAAAGGTAAAGTACCGTAAACACTTTTTTATAAGAAGAAAGAACACAGGTATCTTTTTGAATCTGACATACTACTTTTTAAACTCTAAAATGTCTGAGTTTTTAATTAAAAAAATAAAATTTTGAGAATCTGTTTGATCCTGTATTTATGACTTCCTTTTCAATAAGATTTTTTTCCCTCATTGCTTCTATAGTATAATGTAGGTAATCACAAGACAGAATAATTGTCTCATAAATCCATCAGGAATCTGCAGCTTGTTCTTTTCCAATTAATTATTCAATCAGTAAATTTTTTAAAACTCCAGCAGCATGGTTACATCTA